ATAATATTTTAACTATAATTAGAGTTCATACTTTGTCATATTTACCTTTTATATATTTATATCTTAAGCCTTTGTAGGCTGGCACCGACTTCGAAAATATCTGTTTAGATATCAACCGTAAATGAAAACCGCCGTTTAGTTATTTTTTTACTTTTCAGTGCCTGGAAGTCGGTTTTTTTAATTGAATTCGGTTAAAAAGAGACTTCATTTGTTAATCCACCTTATAAACTAATGCATTTAGCTATAGGAACCTACTATAAATTAAATAATCGAACATTCTAAATACCAATTTTCCATCCTTAGCGCAATGCCAAAGCCGCGATTTTCATAGTTCATACACAATTGTAGGTATATTTTTCACATATCTACTTAAAACGTAATTTTATACATACGAGTATCTTGACCTTTATTTAACGTTACCTTTTTAATAATTCATAGGCGCCTTACATAATGAAAGGCATTACTTAAGACGTGCAAAATTAGTAAGCTAAAATTTGAATATCTCGACTATAAAGCCATAAATAACTAGCTTCTTTCTACAAACATATACTCATGTTACATTAGCAGAAAACATTAAACAATATTCCAAAATAACGTAAATTATTTTGCTTTTTGCGGAATGACTTTGGTTAAACCTTTTTACCAAACCTTGTCTTGTCAAAGACTTGTCTTTGATCTTCGAAGATAAAAGCTTAATATTCCTAATTAAGTAGATACTTAATTATAATATGTTAATTAATGAATATATGATTCTGTTTCGATGTGATTATATCTAATTTTAAATCTAAAATAAGCAGAAATTATTGTTAAATTCAATGTCATACAGCCTACAGGTTATTAAAATAAATATGAAGATGGCATGTTGAAAGCATCAAAAGTTTGCCTAAAATATAGAACACGCAACATTGACATGGATAATTTTTTTTTTAATTTGTTTCTAAAGGCTTAAAACTTTACAAACAACTAGGAAAAAATATTAATCTGATTGTGATGAAACTTTGGCGAGTCGTTCGTTATACGCAAATCTTCGTGACAATTTCGCGATAATTTGAGATTTATTATACAAACTAGCATTTCCCGCGGCTCCGCCCGCGTTCAGATGATGATGATTTTCCCGCGGTAAAAAGTATCCTATAATAATATGTTAACCAGCTATGACCATACATCTAAACCCCTCCAGTGGTTTTTCTGTGATGCGGTAACAAACAGATAGACAGACAGACAAAAATTCTAAAAGCTTCGGCCTCTGCATCGATAATAATGTCTATTTCCAATGTACAGATTCGGCTTAGTTACAATTTTATTATATGTATAGACTAGCGGCTCACCCTCGCGTCGCTGGGGTTCGTCCTTGTGAAAAACTAAAACAAATCTATCCCACGGGAACCGTGCATTTTCCGAAATAAAAAGTATGCTATTCCAGACTATAATCTATCTATGTATCAAATTTCATCCAGATCCATAGAGCCGTTCTGGCGTGATTGAATAACAAACATCCACCCATCCAAACTTTCGCATTTATATAGTAGTAAGACATGAACAACAAGTAAGCAAAATTAATTATTTAACATAAACACAACTATATATACATACGTAATAATGTACATATGTACATATAGGTACATATATCCACGTGCTACAAAGTGTAAGATTTTGTCGCTTTACGTCTGTTTAGAGGCATAGGCGGATTTTAACGCCTGAAAAAATAAGTTACTGGTGATAATATTTTAAATTTATGTAATACTAGCGGCTCACCCTCGCTTCGCACGGGTTCATCGTTAGGTACGTTTTAAATAGATATAAATAGTTATCAGCCAGCCATTATTTTTTGTTAAAAATATTGATTAATATTTATACGATACTAACGTCACTCATTTGTTTTGCTTTCCCGGAACCTCTCCACTAACACTTAAACTTTATGTTATGGTATTAAAGTTCAAATTGACTTTTAAGTATTATTACGAATCTTTTGTATGGGAGTATAGAAAAATGTTGTTTTTAGACTTTTTCAGGCATTTTTTTAAATTTTTCTCTCCGTAAGAACCATCCTCGTCTTCAAGGAATATTCTAAAAAAACAATTAGCGAAATCGGTTCAGCTGCTCTCGAGATATGCGCTTAGCAACACATTCAGCGATTCATTTTTATATTATAGATGTAATAACGCGTAGGCTGAAAAATCATTTGAATGAAAAATAATTTACTCTATATTATAATAGTTATATCTATAATATTCTAATACTATACTGTACTACTTAGGTACTACTAGTTGCATAATTACTTATTACTTAATGTATAAGATTCAAGTATTATACAAAAAAAATATTTTATTTAGAAATAAAAAAAGGCCGAAGGTGATGTAAATATTTAAATTACTAGCGAAAAAAAATAGCGATTACAAATAAAAATTAAAAACATTATTACTGCTATTGAGTGAAATATGAACGTAATACTAATAGCCGACATAATCGTGATAATATCATTTGGCAAAGTTATTTACATTCTATTCAGAATAAACTCCTTTTAAAAATTTTGAATCTGAAATAATTCAAAGTGGAAGCATTTTCTATGCTAGAATATAGAGCAGGTTAAAATGCGGAGCATTTTGTATACTATACCTAATATAGAACTAGTTTGTATAGCACACCTATATCTCGGGAAGAAGACGGTGCGACGCGGTTTACGGGAATTTGATATTGCCTCAAGTGAAGCGAAGCAGCATTGTGCACTTTTCTCTAGGCCACGGCAGCAAACATTCTCGACTGACGTTAGTTCTTATGACGATGTCTTAGGTCTTATGACGTCCAATTCTTTTTGTAGCGCGCCCTATTTAGTTGTTGGATACCACTTCGTTGTTCACAGATAATTATAGTGTCGGATTCTTCACAATCATTCTCATGAAAGTATTTTTATTTTGCGGAAGTATACATATTATGTATATCTACAGCACTGTTTATTTTAACATTTGGAAAATAAGATAAGTTGGTACCATATTATGTATAAATGAATAAGTACATTGTCGTTTAAATGAATAATCTAGTTAGTAGTTAGTCTACCTACAAGAACGCTACCTGGTTCAGTCCGCTAAAGCAAGAAAAATTGAGTCAACTCCCAAGTTAATCAGGTAATGTTAAGATAAGGCAATCTACAAACTAACGACTGAGTATTCTACTAAGTAAAGCGTTGAATGGATTATTAATTAGAATTTTTTGTAGATATATTTTTCATAAAAAATAAAGTAGAAATGAAAATAAATAAGAAAGTAAAAAATGTACGCACGCATATAAGCCGTCGAAATGCTGGTGGGTTGCGACGTATATGATTTTTTTAAATACCGACATCCTAACAACGTAGACTAATTAAACAAAATTGTCTGCAGGTCCTTCAAAATTTAAGTTAGTCGTATTACGTTAGTCTTAACTATCCGATCGATCTCGGAAGAGAATTCGATGACAAGTTCTAATGATGATACTTGATGACGCCCGATGACGATGATGATACTGGGTAATGATGAGATAAGAGCAGAAAATTGAGAAATCTTTATTAAAAACACACTAATCATTTAGTCCATTATAATTGTATTTCTTTTTCACCTCAAAAGAATAATGGCCGATTTCACCAATGTCACCTAAGTTTAAGGGATCCCCTAGGCATGGTTAGGGGGCTGTTAGGGGACAGTTTCCATTTCACCGACAGTTAGGGGTCACCTAAAAATTAAAAAAAATAAAATAAAATGCCACCTAAATATAGGTACTAGAAATACGGACTCTGACGATGGTAAACGAAATTTAATTAAGGGGCTAGTTTAGGGGAACTTTAAAGCTAGGGATCCCATACGTAGGCGGTAGCTTAAGTGATGTTGGTGAAATCGGGCTACATAATCGGACTACAAAAACAGTTTCCAGTGACCCCCGCCAAAAAATTCCGAAGGAAAATTACTGTAAAAAATTTTTGCAATGCCTTTTTGAGCTAATTTGACTGAGCTAAAGTGCCATAATGCTAGGTTTTGTCGTTATAAAATCAAAATGGCAGTCAAGCAACATATATTGAATGAGGTTTCACTGAATAAGTGTTTATTCAAAATCACATGATGGTTTCCTATTTAAAGTCAATTTAGGAACTACGCAATCTGAAAGTTGCAAAAGGACTATAGGTATATGTTTTTTATCGTGCGTAGTAAATAAACATCACATATATTTTATGATAGGTATTAAATAAAAATCAAAATGAAAAAACAAAATAATTTTATTGAATTAGAAAAAAGCTCTTTGGAATTCTAAGAGTTTTGAATTTTGAAGAGGGTCAGTCCGGAAGGAAGGTAATAAAAGTCATTAATTTCCTTAAATTAACATAGCTGTTATTATATCTACCCTCTACTATGTTCCAACGGCATCTTGGTTCCATCTGTTTAGTTCGCTTTTTACTCAAACGAGTTTTTCATTTACTTTTTTACTAGGTTCTATGTTGTCGCAGGTAATTCTTTAGCTTTCCTTCGGTAGTTCGCTAGCTTTCCTTTTCTTTCTACCTGTCTTTGTGTCTTGTATGGTTTATTTATAGGTTTAATAGATAGGTAAAATACCTGACAAGTGTATAATATATGTATTGTAATTTGTAACATTTATCTTTTTAACCTATATTAGATTCAGTATGACATAAGTACGCTTTCATTGTTATTTTGATATCAAAATGACACTTTGTCAGCAAAAACATTTAAAAATTAAAATTTGTCTTTAATTCATACGATATAATAATGAATTCTGCAAGTGATTATTCTCCTTCACCATCCTATTTTTGGAATTGCCTAACTCTCAGTGAAAAGTGCCCTTACTTATCAACATCTGATCCTATGCTACTTTATTTTGCTGTCATATTAACATGTTTATACGCTACATTCTTCTTCGTAGTATTAGCTGATATACAGTTTTATTGGACTTTAGATCGCTTTCAGCAACAAATTGATTATAATATAAACTATATATTTAAGAAGATAAGATATATCCAAATGAATCAGCGAAAGTTAGTAAGCACCAAAGAGAGAACTGAGAAGCAATTAAGACGAAGTGAAGAAAGCAAGCGCGTTGTCACTGTACTTAGAGGAACTATACTAGAGAATTTTGATGGCACTAAATTATTACCTAACATTCAAGAAGATGATGTAGAGGAAACAACACAAGACGACTCGTGGCTCAACAGTCATAGTATTATAGATCTCTCTCAATAAAACTCATTAACTGTATATGGAAAAGCTGACAGAACACCTGTATATATTTACATACTTAATGAAAATATCGTTACGAGTTTTCAGTAAAATAAAAAAGGTATATTTTTATCCAGCAAACATTTTTACATCATGAATAAGCTGCTCGCCATTTTCTTTCCTTCACTTTTAAAATGTTTAACATAATGATAGAATAATTATAAAATTATATAACTGTCTACATGATTTGATATTAAAAAATATTAATATATAAAAAAATAATCCGTTTTAATCAATTCACCTTAACTACTGTTTTCATATCATCAGTAGCTTTACAATCAAATTAATTGAATATTTATGACCAATTGAAATACAAAAATAATTTCAACATTTCCTGTAGTTATTTAGTTTGCAATATAAATAAAGCTACCAATTCTTGATTTTAAATGCTAAATATGTATTACTTCGTTAGCATCTGAAAAAAAAGTACTTAATTTGCTCATTTTTCTTTTACAGATTTTTTTATAAAAATAAAACCTACCATTTTTCGTTCGATATATTTAACCACCGCAGTCTCTTCCAAAACTCGACTGCCTATTCACAATCACATTATTAAATTATGTGAATAAAATCTTTAAAGTCCATTTTATCAGGTCATAGAACAATTTTACAACGATTGACTGGGATTTAAATCGCCTATACTTAACTACGTAAGTTACGTATAGATAACCACGACCAAAAATATTGGTAATTTTATTCCATTGGTTTGATTATATCCAAGGCATGATACTACTCATAACTTTTTTAATATTTTTTTTAATTTTAAATAAAACTATCTTTTCGCATTTTATCGCGGATTTATTTGTATTTTTGTTTCCCGACGTTTCGAATGCTTTACAGCATCCATGGTCACGGGAGAGACTGAGGTGTTACATGTCTTAAAGATATAGTTGTTACAGACAGCCTACCCACAATTAACAAAATGCATTTTGTTAATTTTTTTTAATCTTTATATTTGGAGCTTCGCAATCTTAAACATTGAAAGACTTCAAATAATATCTAATGAACAAAAAAACGTTAATCCTGATTCATTACGGAATAAGTTGTACTTATTTTGTTCCTAAATAATTGAAATTGTACATCATTATCTTTTATATTAATCAGACTTTTTATAATAAAAGAAGATTCGCTATATATAAATGTGTTTCAACAAACATGATTTTTTTTTGTTTTATAACTCATATTATTTAAAGTAAGTATTCCAGAACTTTCAGATATTCAGATAAAGGACAAAGGACATTGTATGAAACCTATTGAGTACAGGGTTAATACAGGACAATGATAAGATGATAATATAAAACTTTTGAGACATACTTTATATTTTACGAGCAACAAAAATAAATTTGTATTTTATTTATATATCTTTATAAACAGACTTTTTTTATTCCCAAACAACTAAAGATAAACACTCTGATATAACAAAAGCCGGATTTTATATTAGGGTAAGCCGTAAGGCAAAAACAAAATTTTATAATTATGGCATGTCCGCTACGTCATGTTCCTTCTTCTTTGAACCTCTATAGCACGGTAATAACTATGTAACATTACCGTGTCTATAGTCTATACTCTATACCTACTATGGTAGACTAGTACAGTATTGGTAAGTTTATTGAATAGTTTTTAATTTATAATATATTTTATTTAGATATATTTTTTTAACTTCACAAATACAAAAATAACTTTATTTTACGTAGCATATCCAAAAAATACTATATAATACGAGGAACTAAAACAATTTAGCCTTTCGATAGGTATATAATAAATATTCGCATACTTAAAACATCAATGATCAATATTGTGTTATGTTCTTTGTTCTGTGGCTTAGGTATAGGCGTGCCATGATGGTACGTACAGTTTAAACATCAATATTATGTTATTTTGCACTTATCTGACATCTAAAACTTCCATGTGACATTAATCTCATGACTAGAAAGAGCATCAAATACTTTACATGTCCTTCTGGTCAACATGCGACATAAGATAAGTTAAAAAAAATACAAAATTGTTTAGAGAAAGAAGAGTTGTTTGGGACTTTCGGACCATGGTAACATAACCGTACCTAAGTTGAATTTATGAAAGAGATAAAAACTCTTAAATATTATTAATAATCAAAAATTGACTAAGCCTAATTCATCTATAGATACTACACATATGTAGATGAAAAAACATTGTAGCAATAAAAGAGAACTTACAATCGGAGACGATGTACAATTGCAAGTTTGTTAAAACTGCATCAAAAACAAGCTAGTAAATAGCGTGTAATTTCGTTGTTGACTAAAGTATGCGTGAAGTTTAACGAATCCCGGGACAGCAGGAAGAGGCACCGGTTAAAGTTAAGCAATTAAGAAGAGTTCTAGCGGCGAGATTGCATGGAGCGAACTTCTGTTTTCCGTTCCTAAAACTATCTTCATTACAACTACTGTGTATACCGAGCTGGCGTAAGTAACGTTTCCAAACCGCACGCGTAAACCTTGCAGCGACTTGTGCCATTAATCCTAGTATATTTGACCTCAGACATTAACATGTACTTATAACAAAATTTGAAGTGTATAAGAATGTATTGTTAAGTTTATATATTTAAACAATCTATTATTTCTCTTCATAATTGAAATTTTATACTATAAAGCTTTCTTAACTGACTATGGAAAAAAATAAGAATGTCACTCTTCCTTTAGTAACTCTACAAAATAAAAGACTGTGCGGGTTAAATTGATTATAGTGGGATTAGGCCACTTCTGCAAAGACGACCTCATTTGTTAGAAGATAGTTGGTAGCGATGCAGTTGGACATTTTCCAAGCGTTTCCAACCAGTAACTTTTTATTTAATCGGACACAAAATTAAATTTATATTTAATAGTAAAAAAAAAACAACCAATATTATATTTTAATATAGTATTTATTTCACACTACACACGCACACATTTTCTTTCTTACATCCATAATAAATAGTTAAACTTATTTGTTAATTTTATACAAGCTTTAGTTTTAACCTTAAACTTACATACCTATATAAACCTTATCTGATACACACACATGAAACATTATGAAAGTGACAGTTTTGTATTCGATGGGCCTTAATGTCGGCTTAGAACAAACAAACCGAATAGTTAAAACGAAAACTTAACATAAAACTAACAAACACAGCCATTTCAATGAATAACAATATAAAACAGTAAACTTAACAACAAATCAACGCTTAAAATTACTTAACATGAACGAAATTGAATAACCAACGAGTAGCGGCACGCGCAACAATGGATGTGTAATGAGTGTTTTATCCCCTTGGGCGGTGTATTAATACTTTATTTGATAAATATTAAAGCAGTGTATTTAAAATCAGCGATGGTGCTCCGATGGTGATGATTGCAGTGCAAATTTAAATTGCCAAATTAATACTGAATACGTAACTGTCATACTGTTCATTTAAAGCGAGGAAAAAATACTCACTAACATTTTAAATTACCGCATCAGAAGGTTTTTGGAAAGTATTTATATATTAATTAATTTCTTCATAAGTTTCACTTCCAATAAAATGCTTCAGCGCTGTAATTTCGAAGTTTAAAGCATCCTGATAAAGTTTCATTAAAACTCTAGCAGAAGGCACTACACGTGTAAATAACAATAAATAGGCACTTCTTGGTATTAAGGCACTTCTTAATAACTTTCGCTATATCTAAAAGCATTTGGTGAAAATTTAATGAAATAATGTAGAAATCGAAGTTAATTTTCAAGTAACAATTTCTTTTAACTCAAACAAAAACTCAACTTGATTGTAATAATGCTAAATAACTAAAACAGAATAAGTAAACAAAATGTTAAACGAAGTATTTAACAAGAAATTTAACGTACAAATAACAGCGTAACCGGGAACAAAAATTTTGCATGAAAGAATCGTATTAAAAATCGAGCCAACCAGTTAAAAACATAACAAATACATTAACAAAACAGAAATTCAACAATTTTCAACAAAAACTTTTAAACCAGACCAACTGCGTTTATTGTCCAATTAGTATAAAACTTAATAGAAAATGTTCTTAAAAAAGGTACAAATTCAACCGCATGATTTTTAAACGTAACAGATTAATAACAAAATTCATAACCAATTATTAACAAAGTTTTTTTAATCAGTTCAGTTTAACCGTATTAATGATAACAGAAAACAAATCTTCTATAACGACTTTAAAACACTTATTCAAAGTTAATTAACAAAAACAACGTGAAGAAAACATAACCCAAAAACAGAACTTAACACAGTCACAAATGGCAACAATCATTCTGAATTTATAGTGTTTTTTAAAATAAGTAAGCAAGACTACAAAGAAAACGTATCATATCAGAAAAATATTTGTTAAATAAGAATAACGACATAATACATGATTTTCTCAGAGGGAGATTTCGTGTAGAGTTTTAATTAATCATCATGCCATATTGGAAACATTAACAAATAAGTGACTTTTAAACATAACGGTTAAAGTTAACAACAACAACGGTAAAACATAAACGAAACAATCAAACTTGAACTGTATATTAAAATAAAACCGCACATTAAGGCTCAAATA